CCCCCACAGTCACATCAGTCTCTGAACAGAGGAGCTTACACTCTAATGTCCCCTCCCCCACAGTCACATCAGTCTCTGTACAGAGGAGCTTACACTCTAATGTAACGTCCCCCCACCGCTCCCCCAGTCACACACTATTATTATACATTTATATAGCTCTGAGGAAATGCTAAATGCTTCCTCCTGCCTGCAGCAGACTGACCACCAGGGGAGAGGAGACTAAGGGAATGCTTTCTTCTGCCTGCAGCAGACTGATGAATAATGATCCCGTTGCCATATATTGTGACGTGCCAGGAATGTATTCATGAGGATTTGTAAAGTGACTGACAGGTCCTCTTTTAATGGTGAAGGACAACAACAATTTGTGAAGTGCCGTGAGCCGCAGCAGCCAATCATGATCCAGCGCTCTGACTTCAGATAGAACTGGTTAGCAGGAACGGGTACAATGGCTGAGTATTTGTGATGATCGGAGTGATCGGCAGAGAATCGGGATTTCTTTGCTGTGAGTAGTTAAGAAGTTTAATGTTTCTCTGGAACGCGTTTCGGGGCCCCTCTGTGCTCTGCGTGGTTCGGCCTATGAGCAGCTTTTCTAGTTTTGAACACATCCAAGCGACGGACATTTTGATTTTTTTCTGATACAATGTAACACACGATGACCAGCCGAGACCATTTCATTTCCTGGCCACCTTGCAGGACCTGAGGAAGCGTTTACATTGGCACCTTGAAGTGGGGGGGATATATTAGGCAGGAAGTGAACATTATGTCCCTGAAGTTGATGTGTTGGAAGCAGAAATAATGGACCAGTGAGAGGATTTGAGGGACCAAATTGTGATTCTAGATGACTGGGTCAGAGCAACTCCAATGCTGCAGCTCTTGTGGGATGTTCCCGGTCTGCAGTGGTCAGGACCGACCAAGAGTGGTCCAAGGAAGGAAAACCGGTGACAGGGTCATGGGTGGTAAAGGCTCATTGATGGAGGGGGGGATGGAAGGCTCATTGATGGAGGGGGGGAGGGAAGGCTCATTGATGGACTTGGAGAGGGAAAGCTCATTGATGGACGTGGGGAGGGAAGGCTCATTGATGGACGGGGGAGGGAAGGCTCATTGATGGATGGGGGGATGGAAGGCTCATTGATGGACGGGGGGATGGAAGGCTCATTGATGGACTTGGAGAGGGAAAGCTCATTGATGGACGGGAAGTCTGGCCCATGTAGTCTGATCCAATAGAAGAGCTGCTGTAGATCAAATTGCTGAAAAGATTAACATCAATGAGTTCAAGGTGTTGACTCCGCCTCCAAATTCTCCAGATCTCAATCCAATTGATCATCTGTGGCATGTGCTGGTAAAAGAAGTCCGATCCATGAAGGCCGATCACCTCACAATTTACAGGACTTAAAGGACCACATTATAATCAAGGGTACCAGTGAAACTTTGGAAATGTGGTCGAGGTGCATTAATCTGACACTCGGGGCGAGATTTACAATATTCTTCCATTGCTCCGTATATACCGGGTCAGGAAAAATACTGCTCAGTCACCCAACACAGGAGAATGGACCAGATCCAATACCATCCTTGTGGGAGGCTGGGAATCCACCAGATGCTCCACAACTTGCTCCTATTTCTTCTTTTCACAAATGCAGTCCTTGTATACTGCAGAATGGGGGTGTAAGAGGCAACATTCTGATTCTTGAGGTTCCCCGTGTATCACCTTTACATTTGTCCATGGATTTGTTATATTGGGATTGCAAAGCTGTGAAGCAATGGGGGCAATGATGACCACTAGCGGGACGTTGTCAGGTTGTGAGATACTAATCTGCTGTAGTATCTCAGCAGGCAAGGCTCAGATGTAACAGTCACAGACCACGCGCTCCACAATCTGAGCAGAAATAAGCTCCTCCGGACGCAAACACTGTAAGGTAGAAAAAAATTCACATCTGGGACCTCACGAGCTTCCCAGGGCAAAATTCCCATATGAACGCATACTGCACTTGGACAGCTACCATAACCCCAAGCCTGGCTGGCTCCTCCGAGTCTTTGGTATCCTGAGGTTGCAAGTCAAAGCCGGCCTTTTGGGGAATTCCCTGACTAAAAGGGTGGAAGCACTTCATTCCTCTGCTTCTGGGGCAGCTTCTAACACTTAGTGACGCCCTCAAAGATGTTCAATGTAGGCGTCAACATCATCCTAAAGGCACAATTTCTATAAAGCGCCACCTGTCGAGGTGTAGAAGTCGACCCCTGCACCACCATCTGCCACTGTAACAGGGCCTGTGTCTGCTGCTGTCCCTTTAAGGAGGCCTGGTGGGCTACAGTCAGCTGTTGCATCTGCTGGCCATTTATGGTGTTTGCCTTTTGCTGTTTAATATGAGTCCCATGATTTTGTTCAGCAATAGGTGTCTGTCATTTTAAGGTTCTGCCCGCATTCTCCACCAAGTTGTAGGGGGAACAGGCTAAACTGGCAACAGCGCCTGTATACCATGGACAAGGCAGACACCAAGTAATGTCTATAGCAAAAAGAACCCGTACAAAACATCGGCTTGTCTGAGCCACTAACTGAACCTATAACAGTTTCTGCTATCAGGGTGCCCCGCAATGAGTTCCCCAAAACAAACAGGAAGCTCTTGTACTTGTATTGATCAGTCAGCACTCAGCCTCTTCACCCAGCAGAAGTCTCCTACAGCAGGGAGAGACTTAGTATCAGTCAAATCACACATATAAAGGCCTGTGCTCAGCTGAGACTAATAATGAGGTCTGGCTAGAACAGGGGTGGGCAACTCCGGTCCTCCACCTGTTTCGGAACTACAAGTCCCATGAGGCTTTGCAAGACTGACATTTGCAGGCATGACTCCCAGGGGCAAAGGCATGATGGGATTTCTAGTTAAAACACAGCTGGAGGACCAGTGCGGTCTCACCAGGACTGTGCAGTGTCACCAGGGCTATGTGCAGGTCTCACCAGGGCTGTGTGCAGGTCTCGCCAGGGCTGTACGGTCTCACCGGGGCTGTGCAGTGTCGCCAGGGCTGCGTATGGGTCTCACCATTGCTGCGTGGTCTCACTAGGGCTGTGCTGTGTCATCAAGGTTGCATATGGGTCTCACCAGGGCTGTGTGGTCTCATCAGGGCTGTGCGGTCTCACCAGGGCTGTGGATGGATCTCCCCATGGCTGTGTCATGTCCCCAGGGCTGCATATGGGTCTTATCAGGGCTGTGCGGTCTCATCAGGGCTGCATGCGGGTCTCACCAGGGCTGTGGATGGATCTCCCCATGGCTGTGTCATGTCCCCAGGGCTGCATATGGGTCTTATCAGGGCTGTGCAGTGTCACCAAGGCTGCTTGGGGGGGTCTCACGAGGACCGCGCGGTGTCACCGGTGCTACGTATGGGTCTCACCATGGCTGTGCGGGTGTGTGTGTTATATCTCTATAGGTTGAACTTGATGGACATGTGTCTTTTTTCAACCTAACTAACTATGTAACTATGTGTGGGTCTCATCAGGACTGTGCAGCTTCACCAGGGCTGCATGGGGGTCTCACCAGGTTTGTATAGTGTCACCGTGGCTGTGCGGGTGGGTGTGGGTCTTACCAGGGCTGTTTTCCGGGTCTCCCTATGGCTGCTCGGGTGGGTGCGGGCTGCAGGAAGGAGGAGAAAATGTGTGGCCGGTATTGGCGCTTAGTATCGGGGCATTTTCACGAGTACGAGCCCCCAGTATCGGTGTCAGTGCATCCCTATATAGAATATATATCGTCCACACCAGTGGCGTAACAATCACCATAGCGACCCAGGCGGCCGCTATGGGGCCCGGGGCACGTCGGGGCCCGGCCAGGACATCTCCCTGATGCCGTGCGGGCCGCCTGGGTCGCTATGGCATCTGACTCGGACAGCCAGGCTGCTGGCTGTCACTGGCGGTTGTGAGGAGGAACGCTCCGTGCCTTCTCACAGCCGCTGCTGAGTCGGTGACAACCAGCAGCTTCGCAGGAGGTGGCTGCGCCCGTCATCGGCAGCGATCGAGGAGGCGTGGCCCGGCGATTGAGGAGGCGTGGCCCGGCGATCGAGGAGGTGGGGCCCAGTTACGGAGGAGTCGATCGTGGAGGAGAAGGAGGCGGACAGAGGATCAGGGCTGACAGGTAAGAGGGCTTGACCGCCCGCCTGAGACCCTGCAGAGCCCACCATAGAGAGTCTATGGTGGGCTCTGCAGGGTCACCCTCAGGTGGGCTGTTTGGGTTATCAGGTGGGCGTAACTAGAAATCACAGGGCCCCATACAAAATGTTGCTATGGGGCCCTGTGATTTCTAGTTACGCCCCTGGTCCACACACCGACATCATCAATATATCATCTTTATTGGTGTTCCTTCAGCAGGAGATGAATAATGCAAAGTTCCGGAACCTCACATTCAGGTCATGCTGACAGGACACCAATAAAGATGATATATTGATGATGTCGGTGTGTGGACGATATATCTTCAATGTCCTCACCATACACACACAGTCACCGTACCAGAGAGCCAGAGTCCTTCCAAGTTCTTGCAGCTACACAAATGCGATGTGCACAGAAAATCGTTGTGTTACCTTCACCTCCTGAACCAAGGCGAGATTAATCAGCTGGCTGAAGTTTTGTCCCACCAACGTCAACGTCTCGTTAATGTAGAGCTTCATGGATGCCAGCTCGTCCTCCTCCTCTGTCTGGGTGCACCTGAGTGAGTACAAATCCAACAAACAATCACTTTGATGTTTATATCCCGCAGGTTCAAGTATTCCAAAATAACATCCGGAAACCTGACAACATAAAACACAGAGACCCGAAAACTAGAAACAGAACACAAAACCCCAACATTTTATAATATA